TTAATTCAGATAATTCTAGGTATATTTGTTCGACCATCAGTGATTAAAAAGACGCATAAAGGTACAAGGAAATTTAGTGAATAATAATAATAAATGAAGTATACGTAATCGCGCGCGCTTGGCAAATGTTTAACTATCATAAATCACAGTATGCTTGAAATTATCGCTAGAGGACGCGACTAAAACAGTTTAGTATGAAAGAAACTTGTTGATTAATACAGATGCTCCTGAACATTCTCACCTAAAGGCTCCCCCCAGAATATTCCTCATCCTGACTGAGCCCCCCCCCCCCCCAACCGATGAGTTTATAGATACAGAGTGCGGTACCTTAACAATATTGTTTATTTTATGTATTTGCTACATACCCCTTGACACTTTCCTGTGGCCCGCGGGGGAAACCCCTGGATTAACAGATGAAAACTTGCGCTAAACGAGATGGGTTCTGCAATAAGGTTATTAGTAATGTTAAACTCCATGTTGATATATTTTAATTTCACTGTTGGTACACGTTAATTTCACGTAAAATTACATATTTAAATTAACCAGAGCTGAACCATAGGGGTTTAGAAACAAGATTACTACTGTCTGATACAAGCAATTCTTTTTTTAGCTAAATTAAAATATTTAAAACATGAAGTTCACATGCACCAGAACGAAAATTACCAATGGTGTTGTTTGTTTGTTTGTTTTGAATTTCGCGCAAAGCTATACGAGGGATATCTGCGCTAGCCGTCCCTAATTTAGCAGTGTAAGACTAGAGGGAAGGCAGCTAGTCATCCCCACACACCGCCAACTCTTGGGCTACTCTTTTACCAACAAATAGATGGATTTGAACGTCGTCGCCCCCAGTGGCACAGCGGTATGTCTGCGGACTTACAACGCTAGAAACCGGGTTTCGATACCCGTGGTGGGCAAAGCACAGATAGCCCATTGTGCACCTTTGTGCTTAACTTCAAACAAACAAACGAATGTCGTCAACAAGGCTAGACGATAACTAAGCGTGTTCAATAGGACACTTAGCAATGAGCAGCTAAGAGAAGAGCAATTACAAACACACTCACGTTATCTTTTTCTTCAACAATTCAAGTTTTATATTTCAGTAAACTTTTGAGGAGGGCGGGGGTGAAGCAATGTAATGACTTCTTGACAAAACAGCGGTAGCAAAAGAACTCGAGATAAGCTATAAAGTGACGTTAATAAGAAAAGAAAACATATCACAAAGATATAAATTGTATATGAATTAACCTTAGAACTGTCGATAGAATCGAAACCAGCCCACATTTTCAAATATATTACCCTAAATTACTTATGCACCCAATTTTTGGAATGTCCATAACTTTGTTGGTTATAGTCAATAATGAAATCGGAATCACACAAAAAAATTAAATAATATTTCAATTAATCCCACAAATTGCCGCTGTGATTTCCTATGTATTTTTCATGGAAAATGAATGAATTCACTTGCTTATCTGTTCTTTACACTGAGTGTTGTGAGTAGTACATAAACAAATCAACAATTTTATGGTTAACGATATCAGTTCTAAAGCGATGTTTTTCAGCATTTGATATTAATTCAGTTAGACAATTCCGTGACAAAAGCTTTAGCAAAATAGCTGATCAAATATTAATTTAAACAAACTAAAATGGTTTAAATAGCCTTGTTACTTAAATAATTTGAATGGGAAAATCCCTTAACAAACGTAAAGAGAGAGAGGGGAAATCGAGCTTAATAAGTATAAGGTCGTCAAGAAATTAATGTCGCGTTTTGGAACACTTTCATTAACCACCCCCACAAAACGTACATCACGTATAATAGTTAAACGAACCTAAACGTCACGTTAGTGTAGCTTATATAATGTGTAAAGTTTAGTATACTGTAATCTCTTACAGTGATGGCACATGTTAGGCACGTAATGGTGTTTGAATACAAGAAGGAAAACAACGCCTCTGTAACCACAAAGAATATCAAGAAGTTTATGGAAATGTTTTGAACGTTCGTAAGTGTCAACTATGGTTCAGCAAATTTCGTTCAGGTGACTTTAGCCTTAAAAAGTGTGATGACAGGGGCTGACATGTTGGAATTGATATTAATGCTTTGAAGACTCTTGTTGAGTGTAACCCAAGACAACACGCTCTTGAACTGGCCCTTAAATTGCATGTCTCTCATGAAACTATACGTAAACATCTAAGGAATATGGGAAACTGCTTAAAGAAGGTGTTTTGGTGCCTCACGAACTCTCCGACGATCATCGTTTCCAACGTGTGACCGTTGATTCGTCTGTTCTGGCGCGTAATGCGCGTGAACCATTTTTTGAAGAGAATTATCACCGGTGAAGAAAAATTGATTCTCTATGCGAATATTAAACACAAAAAACAATGGCTCAGTCTTAGAAAAACCCACTTCCGACCACAAAACCTGGACTCCATCCGCAGAAAGTGATGCTTTGCATTTGG